TTATTCCACATGGACCATTGTTCCCTGCGATTCTGACTTTTCACCTCAGCTTCAAGAGTTATTCCCTTAACGCTGCCAATAAATCTTTCACCTTGATGCGTAACATTCGAGCTTGATTTCCTAATCCCCGCTCCGGGATACCCTCAACGACGTACTCAATTACTTCCTCTTCGTGGAGGTATTCTATTTGCCAAAATGGTTTTATCATACAAACAGTTGTCAAATGTCTCGCTTTGCTGCCACCTGTGATTCTCAAATTCTTTTTTCCTATTAAGTTTCGTCGCACGATTATCGAAAAAAATTTTCATCGCTTCCAACGAAAGTCAGTTAGACTCAATTCACGATGCTCAGCCCTTGAGCGGAACCACGACGCTGCCCTCTTTGTAGCCACCAGCAACTGTCCCAAATATTTCACTGGTTTTTCCCAGTCAACAAAATTCGTTTCTTCGCTGAATTCTGCTAATGATTCGCCGATTGTCCTGAAACTAGCCTTCTGCACAAAATTGGACTCCTGCTCTCTTTCTAATAACGCAATACGTTCTGTTAATAACTCTCCTTCCCTTTTTACCAGCTCAAGTTCCTCTCGCGCGAGCTGTTCATTCCACCGTGCAATCTGCAATTCACACTGGCGTCTTCCTTCTTCTCTGTCGTCAGGTAAAGGTTTCCCTTCTTCCAGCCAATGCCCTGCCGGGTCTGCTTCCACGAGTCTGGCGATCAACTCGTTTTTCGAGCCTGACGTTTCCAAATTTCTTTCCTTCAAATTTTCTTTCAATTCCGTAACTATGAAATCACTCACTCCCTTCGTCATTTTTGCAATTCCACAGGCACTTCACCTCGAATTCCCTCCTTTAACTTATAAAGTCTTGATTTACCACCAAATTAAGCTCTGTTGGACGTATTCCTCAGCTTCCCTTCAGTAGAAATCATTCACAATGTTCTTCCTTCGGTATAAAATCACCTTTCATCTGATCCACTTGGATTGAATCCCACTATCTGAATTGTAAGGGTAACTTATTAAACGGGGGAAATTACAAACAAACTGCGCCGTACGCGGTTCCAAAACGACCCGAGACCCGCGATCCGTTCTTCCGGCCTTGGCAACCTCAAACAATGTTGTCCTTCTGTTTCACACCTCGGACACGCACACACTACACTTACGCACAGACGTTAGAAAAATTGCAGCTTGATTGCTAAATCATGGCAAAATATTCATCTGCAAATGTATCTAATTATAATACATATTACAAAAGAAAAAAATAGAGGAGAAGATGCAAATATAGGCTAGTTGAAGTATTGAATATGTTGAGTGCTTGACCCTATTGAAAGTAGGATGAAACTACGAGTTATGAACGAAATAAGTGTCGCGGAGGAGATAGTCACCTGCATTTAGTTTGTTTGCCTGTTGCGTTGCAAAACGTGTCATTTATCCTATTTCGCCATTTTAAAACATTTTTCAGGTAAGTTCGTTTTATTTTTTCAGCAATCATCTATTAAACTAAGAGCTGATTACTGCATTGCTGACATTGTAAGCTTCTTCTTAGTATAAGTTTTGTAACGAATACCATCGCTCTAAGCGTTCCTGACCAAATCATCTAAATTTGGGCTACAAAGCTCGTGGCTTCGTAATACGGGCTAGCCAATATTAGAATTCGGTGACTACGAGAATTATAATAAGAAAAATACCAAAACATTAAAAAGAAAGATATATATGTTTGTGACTATTGTAAATAGATTGACGGATCTATCAGCAAGGACGCTGAAATGAAGTCATGTTCGAGTCATCGAATGACTATATCAAATTTTATCTTAAACTATTAACGAAACTAATGTCACGTACAGTGAATCATAAGCCAGTTCATTTATTCATTTATCTTTCGTTTACAATTGTTATATTTCAATAAAATGACCTAATCTAAAGCTCGGTCGAAAGCTGATCTAATGCAGCACTGTTCTCATAAAAAAATCCTGTTATCATCTTCTTTGAAAAAAGATATTAACTGTGTATAATCAAAAACTAAAGAAATACCATTACAATTATGGTTCAAAGTAGTTTCGATAAACAAAGGAGTATGAAATGTGATAAATAAGGGACTGTTGAATTGTTAATTGTTATGTTAGATATAGGAAGTAATAAAAAAGGAAAAATTATGAAATTTCATAATTGTATTCAAGAAATTTAGTTATTGCAATTCCTAACTGATATGTCTAAAAATGTCACGCTTCGTAACATTATTAACTATTTGAAACCTCTGCATTTCAAACTTTAAGTTTACAAAAAATTGAATTAATCTTTTTATCTCGTATTTGAACTATTTTTAAATTTGAAATTGTTCATTTATTGCCAGCCTGTGTTATCGTAGGTAGGTACATCTTGGTGGGAGAAACTGGATTTTACTAGTTAGAGTTTTAGGAATTTATTTCTCTCGTCCTCAACAGCAAATGACGTGTCATAAGAGAGGACTTTCCGAAGAATAAATTAAAATTAGTTTGCAACGATCAGTTCACACATATACATACGTCGGTATGCGCTCAGAAAAAGAAATGTTTCATTTGGGGACAACGAATTATCCTAAGTTTACGATACGGCCGACATATCCGCTATTTTTGAGGAATATTTAGTTTCGCAGCATGTTATTAATTTTACAATCAGGGAACAACCGCCAGAGACTTAATGGGTTTTTAAGTGCCTGGCCTTTCCTGCTCAATAGCGAATTGACGCATCATCTTATTATTCGGACCAAGGACTGACTAAAACGTGGACAACAATAGGACGACTTGAACACCCAAAATTTTACCTTATCCTTGACGTACAGATGTACCGCTACTTGCATTTGACATACCAACCCCACTACAGAGCGTGACCAACAAGACCACGATTCCCCCGAACACATCTAACCTCCTCCATTGGACAGAACACCTTTCCCACCGTTTTCCCAATTTTCACTAAGCACACCTCTGGACAGACGAGAATGCATAAAAAGGACTGAACAGTTAAAGCAGGGGTGCTTTTTAAAAACACCCTGGACTTGGACGAACTGTGACACTGAACTTTGCACCTTCGGACATTGGATTTGCATATAACTAACCTCTAAGAATTGTTTATATATATAGTATTGTTATCAAAAATCTGTTTGCAAATAAAGAATCTATTTGCTATAAAATCGGCTTCACGAATCGTGTGGGAGCCAACATAATCTAAGATGTTTTTGTTAATGCCCGTGGTTGTGGCGATGAACTTTCGAGCTTTGTGGATGTTTGCACGATGTTCGAAGGGCCACCCAAATGATTGGGACTTGTAAAAACTGATCTATACGCTGATTGGTTAATGGTTAACGATTGCATTTGCCAATCAGCGTGTCTAATATCGTCTTTACCGCCCTTCCAGTGCGCCCTTAGCGCGTTGTCACCTTGGAATGGTGGGAGACGGTCGCGTGGGGTGGGCGGAAGGTCCCAAATATCTGGAATTTCCTCCGGGTGACTAATCGGCAAGCGGACCGTTACATACAGTTGTGCCGTTCGGAAATTCGTGGTTTATGGTATGTTCGTAGGCTATTGAGGGACACAAATTACTAAAAATCTAGCAAAGCAATTCTAGTGACCCTCGCAGGATGTAATGAGACCCGTGCAAGCAATAAACGAAAATCCTCAACTCAAAAATAACCGTTCCCTGTCGATCGTGCCATAAATTGTTTCTACAGAAAACCTAACAGTTTTATAATATGAAAAATGTTCAGAACTGATAATTACGGTGCAAAAAGAAGTGCAAAGAAATATAGCAAGAATTTTCAAGGTGTTGTGAGAAAATTCTGGAAAAAATGAATTAATGGCTTTACTCGTAATTGATAATAACAGATATCCTTACTTCATCTTTGTGACACAAAGTTTTTCTAAAGACAAGCTAAGAAAGACAAATATTTGAACATTTTTTGTCTCCTAACAAGGACGTATGAATGAGGGCAAACGCAAGTAAGGGGCTGCACTTGTGAACAGCGCTGTCTTAAAATATAGCACGTTCTTGTTATCACTTAGCTGCTACATCTACGATCTCTATTCTTCTTTACTCTGCTTACAATTGAACATAGATGGTAAATTACCAAACATAGAAGGTGTCGTGCTCTGAACATCCAAATCTTTCTAGTTAATCTAAAACTTTTCTCTTGTAAAAGTGTGGAATAAATTGTAGGCAAAGAACAAGCAAAAGTAATTACATATTTTGAGCTTCTCTAAACATCTGCAATGATGCATTTGGCTGTTGTTACAAACTAGTTACAATTATGAAAAATGACGAGACGAAACATTTAAGTTCAATAATGCGCCATTAATCGTTACACGATATTTTGCGAAGAATTGGCACATTAAAATAAACGAATAGCTTTTAATAAGTATGTACATTTTGAACCTTATTCACAAAAATAGAAAAATCTTGCAGAGGTCTGTCTATCTCGCCAGATTCGTTTGACACCGTTTTACAATGTTCTGCGTAACACAGAAATATAAAACCACATATATTTCCTTAAAATACGTAACATTATTTATAACATACGCGCGTAGCTACTGTAGAGAACTATGTTGACTTTTTAGAATACATTTATTTGAAAGTTCATTTTGTGACATAATAAGTGCACTTTGCAATTTCAGTTGTGTCTTAAATAAAGCTGGATTATTTATAATCAAGTTGTTTGTACACATGATTGCAGTCAAACGTTTCACACCAATAAAATAAGAACAGATTGACATCGTCAGAAAGCATATGTATTGTGCTCCCAAGTTTTAAGACAGACTAGTAAGAAATATCTTACTCGTAAGGAGTAAGCATTGCCGAAGAAAGAACTGACAAAATAAACAATACTCTTTTCAAGAAAAAGGTTTGCAAACAGGGCACAAGCGTTTGAAGAAGTTCAACAACATCCAGGAGTTTGTCTAACGTAATGTGTTTAATTTACATAAGATAGCAAAGAATATCGGTAACCTGTGCAGGCAACGAGAAACAGTTCACTCACCACTTTGTCGTCCGCGTAGATCACCGAAGATCGCGGTGCTCCCGTAGCCATCATAGTAAAGAGCACCATTAAGATCATCCGAAGCAATATCATCTTGCAAGCACTGATCTTTTTGTCGCAGCCAAATTAACACGAATTTTTTTTCTCACTTGCACGAGCGATGAAATGGCACTACCGTTCGCGAATGTCAATCCCACGAGGCGAAGCAGAAAACAATTCGAAGATGCACTGTGTGATCCAGCAGGACTACCAAGATGCACTGAGTTAAACCGCACACGCGTAACGATTACAAAACCATCGAAAGAAGCACAGACAAGACTGGAGAATAAGCATTCGCGTTCTGTTGTTCGTGAGGCACGCGGCACAAGATGTTCGGAACGCGACGGGGAAAAAAAAAAGGCAACGTGAAGCTAATCAGAGAACAGCAATGGCAGTGATAGAGAATCGAGGAATGAACACAGACGTATTCAAGGCGACCTTCTTAGGAGAACCACGGCTTACTCAATGCCACTCGATATACACTTTTTTCTCTTCCCGCTTGAACGATCCCCCTCCCTCTGGATTAGTAATGCGTCCCACTCTTCTTCCGTTCCCGCTTTCTTCGCGCAAATCTGCCGATTTCCGTCAACTTGGCGTTTCTTCGACGCCGATGCCGATGACGACGGATTCCCAGTTCGTAATTTCCTCCGTGTTCGGACTTTCCAACTGCTACCACGTCCATCCGCCGACCTGAGACAGTTTACATTCTGTAATGCAGTACATATAGTCAATTTTTCGGCTGACTTTATCAAACAGTTCGCGTATCTACCCGCGACAATGCGCGGTCCTTGCGAAATTCATTTTCAACAATTTCAATCTCGGAAATTTGTTAAATTTCAACACTTTTGCACTTTCCGGACCAACTCGGACTAATTACCTTGGGGCGCAAACGGGAAGTGAAAAGATCAATTTCGTGGAGTAACTAGAATAGCTACAGATGGTAATACAGAATAATATACAACCCCTAAAATTTTTAAGATTTAATCGCAATATTAATGCAATCAAGACTAGAGGGGGTCATTTTGATTAAAAAGGTATGTAATTGAGAATATGCGTACATATTTTTGAACTTTTACTCATGTTCAATATATCACATTATACCATGTATCGACAAGAAACTTTTTACGTATCGTTTAATGTTATTCTTAACAATCGTATTAGGTTAACACGTATGAAAAGTTACTTCTTCTTCAATAAAACTTTAAGCATGTGTAATTTCTTCGAAATACCAAGTTAACGTCCTTACTGCAATTCAGTAAGAGTACGTAAGAGCAATCAGAAGTAGTTACAATATCACAATTAGAAAAGTTTGATATTTTAAAAATTCACTGTTTATTCTAGCGTAATGTTGATTTTTGTTATATTAGTCGTAACGACGAAAAGATTACATCCTATGAAAATGCTAGCATAATTTATCATTTGCGCTGCTACTCTTTTTCTTATTAAATAAGAAAAGATGAAATATTTGATATGTGTACAAATGTTCAGAATTCTATCAACTTACATCGTTGTTGGTTAATGTGATACAACCGACATACTAACAATACCTTTGTGAATGCTACATTAACCAGATACTACGCAGAGATGAGAAGTTAGCTAACGTAAGGGATACGATCGGGTTATATCCCCGCAGTATGATACATCGTACATCGCTATACAAAATTATAAGTTCACCACGTTTTTACTTACATATGTTTTACTTACATTATGTTAAAATAAACGAAAGATGTACATAAACAATGAACTACTGCTCTTTTTAAGGAAAATCCTGTCTGTCGCTTCACTTATAAAGAACCATTTATTTAATAACTAATTAGAATGAAAGTTGTTTTCGGTAATCAATGCTCCATTACGATTAATTAGCTGAAAAATTCGCTTTCCACGCTGTTAATAATTTTTTCTATTAAATTTTGATCAATCTCCTCCCATGCACAAACAGCTGTTGCTCTTAATTACCGAACTGTCATATATTTTTCACTATCTTCATAAATTCGATTGACCATTGTCCCCCACAAATTTTCAATGATATTTGCAACAATTCATTCTCTATATAGATACTACAAAATTTTCATTCGTGGCATTATCTTCCGTCTATTTTTATGTAATCCTGTAAAAGGAAAAAAAAAATAGTTCTAACCACGACAGTAAACAAACCAAAAACTCTGTGAACGTTGTCCAGCGGTGTATACAGGGTGGACCAAATAAAGCTGTTGCAAGCTGTTTTCTCAGAAATCTCGGCAGAGACTCCATGTTTCTTTTAAATTAAACGAGACAGGGAGGCTAATCTTTTAGAAGAGCAACAAACATTTTGCGACGACTACTAGAGGGACAAAGGGGGGTCCCTCTCGTTTTCTTTAAGTTGAAGGGGATATTAATTTTTCGTTATTCGGATAACTCTTCTAAACAAGGGTAACATTGTTAACAAAATGTTCCCATTACCAAGCAAATATCTAGAAGAGCATGTTTGTAATACTTGTCCCTAAATGTATTGATTTTAACTCTTTAACTATACAGAATTAGAAAAAAAAAAATGAATACCCCGTTTCATTTAAAAAAAATAAGGGAGCCCCATTCTACCCCTGGCAGTTATCCTAAAAAAAATTTGTTGCACTCTAAAAAGTAGTGGTTTCTAAGAAACTAGCCTGCAACACTTTATCCGACCCACCCTGTATATGCTGACTATTGTGAGTTGACGATTGACCCTTTTGTATGGTCGATTCGTTATCGTTTCCTATCCCAATTGGAGCGAGGGAATAATGAAATAAACGCAATGTGTCCAAACGCGAATGAAATAACGATCAGCTGACTGGGAAAATGACATCGATCTCAATCAATGAACAGGAAAGATGTAAGAACGAACTGTATATACACGAAGTTGACAGAAAAAGCAATACGAGTCATCAAAGAAAAACGGAAGTCTGTACTAGAACACGCCGGATACCGGAAGATAAACTCAGTCAAAGAAACGTAAATCGTTATCTTCAGGAATATGCCAACGCGAGTTGACCTCGTTCGTCCCATCAAGAACTAGAATTCTTTCCTTTAAATTTCTAACGTAACAGACACCACTGTCACTGTACCAAATCAAATTTTCTACTAGATCATACCAATGTGAATTGTACAATGTTTCAAGTGCTTTCTGCGAAACTGTTACACATAGCGAGGAAACGTTTTTCAATTTTTGTGGTTTTCTAGGGCCTTGCAGGTACAAATAAATTCAGGGGATTTTTGTGAATGCGAGTCAATTTTTGTAGATGAATAGTATTCTATTGTGATGAATAGATTTTGTAGATAATGTGAATCTAGTCGGAAAGAGTTCGTTTCTGCACCAAAAATGAAGTAATATCAGATATTACTAAAATGCTTAATATCAGTTACACTATTCCGGATTTAACTAACAACAAACTATTAACAATTGAGCAAGAAAATAAACGAAACAGTGGAGATACAATGTAGGGTGCTGGATAAGCACTTGTAGTTAAGGAAACCAAAAGACTGTAACCCCAAAAAGGGGCGAGGGATCGTTTTTACAGCACATTGAAAGGACGCTTGAAAAAGATAGCAGAAAATTGCGGAGAAATGAAAAGTAAATAGGGAGCCATCCCGAAATGACAAACGTCGATTTCGATAAAAGCTAGGTACAGTGTGCTTGTCCAACAAATATTCCATGAGCACATTTTTATAATTCAGTCACTTCTGACTATTTACGCTTGAAAAAGAAATAGTGAAAATTCTTAAAACATAAACAAATATGTGTGCAAGAAACCGATAGTAAAAGTCTTATACTGTAGTTTCTTTATTTAAAAAAATCTCAAAAAGGACTTAAAAAATGACACTTTAAACTAGAATACCCCCTTAAGCTGTTCAAGTCCTTATACTACACATACAGTAAATTCTCTACAAGTGTCAGTCAGTTTGGATTCTACAAGTGTCAGTGTAGATGGTCCTACGCCTAGGCTGCGTCATTGCTGCGCCTATGTTATCTCGCTCGCTGTCAGTCAAGCGTGTAACGCTACACTACTCGGTTTCTTTTACGAGATTTCACGGCTCGACAAATCATAATAGAAAAATATAATTTCTTTAATTTTACTGTTTTTCATCTGAAATTTTTTTTAACATATTGGTGAGATTTTTCTGATGAAAATGAGATCAAACAAGATATAATTTGAACAGCATTTACTTATTAATACTTATTGAGTAATTAATTTAATGTCGGCCTACCTCCACGTAAAAAAAAAGGGCCGATTCTACAAGTGTAACAGGACGTCTGTTTTATCTCAATACAGAGAAATATCTGGCGTGACATTGGACGTGTTAATAAGTAAATGTTGTTCAAATTATGTCGTGTTTGATGTCATTTTCATCAGAAAAATCTCATCAATATGTTAAGAAAAATTTCGGGATAAAAAAACGTAAAATTAAAAAAGTTGGTATTTAAATCGCTTGGCTGCCTCGACTCACATCCTTATCTTTTATTCGCTGTCCTTGTCTACGTTCGGCAAACTGCAAAGACGGGCGCGAGGCTCGAAAACGTAGTCCCTGACTCTACAAGTGTCAGGTTTAGGTTCCTTGCGGACTGACATTTGTGGAGAATCTACTGTACTTGGAAATTTTCAAATTTTGCTTAGCTGAAACAAGCGTCAAATTTATATACAAAAATAAAAAACATTGACAACGAATGTGGATTTAACGCTTTTTCAATTTATATATTAACAGACCTAGCGTGAAAACAAATTTTTGCAACAGCGTCTCTGTTTACTGATATCAATTTTTTCCCATTGAAGAAACCCCGAAGTTTTAGCCGTCTTGTTTATCTATCCGAAATCCCAGTGTTTGAGAATGTGCAGAAATGTTTCTGCAACAGCTAGTCAACTAAGTAAGGAAGCACGTTGCCGCTTTTAGTTCTCTGTCCCAGCAATTGAATGGAAAATATACAAAGTACAGGTGTCGAAAAAGGGAAGCTACTTACTTTTCAAATCGGCGATCGGTAAGACAGTTGAAATGTCATGGAAGAAACGTGGCGCATTTCCGGTTTGTTGCGACGTATCGACCGTTCAGCTCCACAATCTATCATGATCGTCCCTTCTGTAAGCCCAGGACGATTCAAGGACAGTCAGAGAATCTCGGACACGTTCGGACTTCCGGTGTATTCGATGAACACGTTCTCGACGAGTGAGCCCCGCGCTTTTTCTTTCCTTTCTCTCCTTCTGTTCGCCCCCTCTCAATTGCAACGCGGTTCGTCGAA